CACTCTCTGCCACACCCAAAGAGTTTTGGATAAAATTGATTCCGGGGAACTGCTATAACCAAACCCGGTGTAGGCCTACTCTCTGGTCAAGACAATGTATATCCAAGGGACATAATCACTGTATTTAAAAAAAAAAAGACAAGCTTACCTTTCTCCTTTATAAAAATTATATAAATGCTATACATTACGTATTACATGTTATGGGCGCTCCCTTAATTAGTTCAGATTGTGGTACCATGTGCTGGACGCCATGGAGCGGTACTGGGTGGGTTTTTTTTAAAATCGGGTCATTGCGGAGTTTTCGAGCCTGGATTTTGTTCCCATTTTCTCTGTTTTTTTAGCCCGACCGCGAGCGTCAGACTTAATTCTTCATATAGCCAATTTCGATCTGCACTGCATGCATGGTTAGACTACAACAGTTCATTATGATTTCCTTAATTCACAGTTTACATTTTTTTAAAAGAGTTTCTGACGGCATTTGTGAGAATTACGTTATATTTATCAGTGGCACCAGTTGATGGGAAGAATGCGCATATCGAGAGATTTTCTTTACAGTACAGTCGTCTTTATCGTGAGGAGGCCTATACACTGCGCTCTTTGCTGTCAGTATTTTCAAGGAAAAAGGAATGGAAAATGCATTCATATTTAAGGTGCCAGTGGTTCAGTAGACGCCATTAATTAATCAAGTTAATATATTAGCCTGGGAAACATTGTTTTTTAAAAATAATTTACAAAACACCAAAACATTATGAGGGGATCTTGGAAATTATGGAGGTTTTTATATTAATAAATTGCCTGTGCTTTAACAAAAGGGGAGGATGGGTGGGATATAAGAAAAATCCTGAACAAATAGATGCGAAGTGAGATAAAGTGGTCAAGGGTCAATTTTAGACTGATCTTGTTCAGTTATCCATAAGTGTAGTTGAATGTGATTCGTTGTTATTAATTTGCCTCCTAATTTAAGAACCAAAGTCACACAATTAATAGAACCTTATAAAATCTATAGCACTTAATCAACAATATTTCTATTAGCAGAGCCTCAAAGGAAAAGAAGTAGGCATCATCTCTGTTTTTGCCCCTTTTGATTTAAGAATGTCTATGAAGTTACTATATGGTTTTTCTTGTAGGACATGTATGATATGTAAAAGCCCCAGAAATTAATAGACCTCAAATTCTGCACTTGCATGTTGTTTTTTTTAACCATGTTTTCGGCTAGTTATAATTTTTTAAAGTTGGTCATATCTTTTTTATTCAGAATTTTAGTTTTCGAATCTATAAATTAATATTATGTCTTCATATTTTCACGATGTACTTTAAGAAATAAAACTGTTTGTGTTCTTAATTGTTTAAATTCATGAATTTAGAATGGCTTGAACTTGGCGCCCATATCAAAATGGGATGAAGCCACGAAAGAATACATTTTTAAAGCATTCTAACTCATCTGTTTGTTCTTGGATTTTCATAGGTTTTTGTTGTTGCTCTAGTTTTTATTAGAAGAAACACATAAATTAATATATAGGCTAGGCCAAAAGTCATAAAAGTTGATTCCTCTGGCGACTTGTGAAGCGCTTTGTTGTCACACACACGAGACCTATTCGATTCCTTAGTGGGGATGATTTTTATCGAGTGATCTCTGTCTTTCTACTTGGATGTTGTATATGCCTCTCTGCTCTGGTTGGCCCCCTTGACAGACAGGGTTGAGTTGAAGCCACAGAATTCTACACTAAGTGTAGAATTCTGTGGTTGAAGCCCACTTCCCAAATTATCTAAATTGTGTTGATGGGGCTGTAAAAACATCTAGGCACGTAGGCCCTACATTGTTTTAAAAGTATTTTATTTATATTTTGTGCTTGTCAGTGTGTAGCTTACTTAGATCTACCTATATTTTGCTTCTCACTAGGTATTTTTTTTACTCGTAATGAGGTGGTCTTAAAATTAGGCTATAATTAGCGAATTGGTGTAATGTTATGGTGAATAATATTATGCGAGTGAAATCAGGTGAGATTGAGAAGAAAAAGAAACTGCTGAGCTGCCAAGCACATTTGTACCAAAGTTTCAACTTCAAGTCGCTAGTCTTGTGCTAGCTAGCCTACAGTTTAGTTGTTGCTGACTGCTGACTGTTGCCCCCACTGTTGCTGTTGGTAAAGTCGCCGGACAACAACGCTTCAAATTTGAAGTAGTAAACCCTTTTCCTTTTATAGTTCTTGGTAAAATTTAAGAATACCGGACCAGCGGACTGACTTTGCGAGAAGATTGAAGAATACCGGACCACTCGTACATTATTGCGCGAGAAAGTGGGGTGGAGGAGGGGGGAGGGGGAGTTCAGGGGGGTCTCCCCCCTGACAAAATTTTAATGAATAGATCTACCGGTCCGAGATTCTCCATTAAGACATTTAAGAGACATTAAAAATGGGGAAATTATGAATTCCTAAGGTTGAGACATAGAATCTAGGCAAAGTCAGTCCGCTGGTCCAGTATTTTTCAATCTTACCGACTTTGCCTATGTCTCAACCTTAGGAATTCATAATTTTCCCGTTTTTAATAGAATCTAGATCTAGATCTAGTAGTCGATGTGCCAGACTGCGGTGGTGACCCCAGTGCGGTGGTGACCCCAGCGCGGCAGTTGGTCTAGTTTCGGCAATTTCTCACCTACTACTTTTGTTTTTGTAAATTTAAAACTGCAGTGATGTCCCTTGCGCTACATATATTCCAGCCTTGATTGTGTTTCAAATATTAGTCTAGATCTAGATAGATGGTTGGACTGGATAGCAGCACATGCCGTTAAACGTAGAAGACGCATACGCATCTTTCTGATTGGCTGCTAAATTTTAGGAATGTGATGTCATCTGGGATACCCTCAGACTATTTTTAAGAAGGCCGTGGAGGTACCGCATAGAATGACGTGTTACCCGTAGGCCTATGTTAATAAATTTTCGGAATTCCAGTATTGACACCGTACAAATGTCAACAATTTCCTTCATTGAGACATTGACGGGTTTTCAAGAGCTTCCTAATTTTCCGGTTCACTGTGTTTATTGAATTCATTCTTTGAACGTTTCCTCTAGATCTACCGTATAAAAGAGACTATTCTTCATCGGAGCACCGCATCGTATCACATTACCAGTATTCCTGGAAAAACATTGCACCAAAGCATTGTGCCATCCCGTTTGGCTATATTTACATATATATAGTCACATGATCGGAGAGGTGTTCCGGTCTGACGTCACACAAAATGGCCGCCTTACCTAAAAATAGTTTGCGTCCTTCTACGTTTAATAGCATGTTATAGCAGCCACTACTCAGTACTACTGGCTGACAGTGACACTGACACTGGAGTCCCTGCGACTGAGTCAACTGTGTGCAACCATTCTCGGACCACTGACAGTATCTGCTTACGTCAGGCCAATCGTGGGGCATTCCTGTACAATTGCGGTCCCGTTTGCACTAAATCACACTAGGCCTAGCACAGAGTACTGGATATCGATACTGATTTAAATAGTCGGAAACAATGTTTTATGTTTCATCAGTAGATTTAGCCTACAAAATGAGCAATAAAATTTCACTTGTTTTTAACAAGGCAAAAGGGGGTTTCTGGAAGGCTTGTCCCCCTGACCTAAAAAAAAAATCATGGGGGGGGGGGGGGGGGGTTGACCATGATTTGATGTTTTGCAATTAGGTTTGATAGGCTATCTCTCCTTATCGGCACGTGCATCATAAAGTAATCAATTAGAACCAGAAGTAATTGTCGGTGGGGTCAAAACTAGTTACTATCCCCAAACAGGACCGCAATTGTACAGGGGTGCCAATCGTGGTTTATGAAAAATTCGACTCACTATGCATAGCCTACACAAAGGCTACATTTTGTTGGTATTATTTTGGAAGGACTTCCATAACAAGCGACCAGGAAAGTCTAGACCTATTATACGCACGCAATTGCGTGCACCAATTTTACACACTTTTTGCTAGCTATACGCACGCTATTGCGTGCAAGATATCATACTTTGCTATGCACGCAATTACGTTATTTACCTCTTCTTTAAGTTTGCCGCTCAGAATGATGTTTCCCCTTTTTTGTCTCGCGTCTAAACTTTATGTGCTTTCGAGAGAATAAAAATCGATAAATGACCGGAGTCTTCACTGTTGAGATAAGAAGTTCTGAAACTTCCTTGCAGCCTGTACAACTGTTCTTTTAATTTTCAGACTTTTTGGATTTCTCAGACTTTCAGCTGAAAACTGCTTCAGAAAATCAGAAAACGTGAGGTTGCATAGAGCAGCAAAATTATGGAATGTAACTCTGGGTGACTTTCCTTCTAATCAGTCAATAGTAGCCTTTCTTGTAGAATCCCTTGTTCTTCCAGTTCGGTACGACAGTCCGAACCTGACACTGTACGTAAAAACTCAACGTGTCTATACAATTGCGTGCATATATATATATAGCCAACTATCTTGCACGCAATTGTGTGCGTATAGCAAAATTAAAAATTTCTGTGCACGCAATTGTGTGCGTATAGACTCAGCCAAGCGACCACCCCAACAAATTCTATAATAAAGAAGAGACCTAGTACCCTACCCCTTTACCCTTAGACCCCCCGGTCACCCCCCTTACCCCTAACCTTACCTCTAACCCTACCCTTACCCTTACCACTACCGCCTCCCCAAACCCTAACCCTAACCCTCTATCCTACTCTGTTTCATAGTGGTCGCTCGTTACGGGATTCCAGAATTCCTCCCATTATTTTACTCATCGACCCGTCTCACGTTCATCATCATCATCATCATTGCCTTTCTCATCCTGCATCAGGGTATAGGCCACGGACAAACACCTCCCACTTTTCTCTATCCTGGGCTTGATGTTATTCCATGTCTTCCCACTTTTCTGTACATCACTTTCTGTGATTCTTTTCCAAGTTCCACGAGGTCTTCCCCTTG